TCAACATAAGAGAAGAAACGAGGAATAACAGCAAGAACATCAGACTTTTGTTGAAGCATAAACAACCAAGTGTACCGAGAGCAGTGATCCACAATGGTTAAAAAATAGCGATAACCCATAGCCATTTAAAATAGACAATTTCGAAATAGGCCAAATAACTTTCGTTTTCAATAATGGCCAACATAGAAGTAGGAAGATTTCTACTAATGTTTTAGGACAAAATTACCTTTTCTAAAATAATTTTTAAATGAATTTGTTATTTTTGGTTTGTTAAGAGGAGAATCCTATCTAACCATCCTTGTAAGATAATTCAAATATTTTAACAATACTATTTTTCAAACAACAAATAAAAAATACGGTGAACAAAGAAACAAAAATACAAATACAATAAACAACTACGGTGAACAAATAAACAAAAATACAATAAATATGAACAACAAATATGGTGAACAGAAAAATAAAAATATAAAAAATACGGTGAACACAAAAATATAACAAATACGGTGAAGAGAGATGTATTTTTGTGAACAATTAATACAAAAATATAAAAATAAGAAGAGAGTAACAAATACAGTGAACAAGATCAACTAAATAAAGAAAATAGTGTGAAGAAATAAGATATATTTTTGTGAACAATTAGTATAAAAATATAAAAATAAGGAGAGAGTAACAAATATATTTTGTGAACAATTAATAAAAAATATAAAACACTCTACCTGAAATAAAAAAGGTACCCTTAACTATGGAAACTGTCAACATACAGGCCTCCCTCTCCTTTACCTTCCACCCTCGCCGCCCCACTTGCAACCCACTGCATTTCCCACCATTGTTCCCTCGCCCGATTCCATCAATTTGTCGCATCCTCTCCCTTTGAAAACTATAGATCCCTTCTCTGATCGTCTCCCTCAATGTGATGTCTCCTTATAATTGGCGAACTCTATCTCTATATATATCTAAATTTATAATAATAGTGGTTATGAAAAACAAAAACTAGAATCAGGGAGAGATAAAATATAGGAGAGATAATGAAAATTAGGATATTTTGATATTAAAACTAATAACTAAATAGAAGAGTAAAAGTGTCAAATATCAAACTTGAAAAACAGTTAGAAGAACATAAATTTGACATTTTTTATTATCAACGATGATTTAACCATTAATTTGACATTTTTTATTATCAATAATGTTTTAGCCATTTTACAATATTGGGTGACAATTAGGGATACCTAGTGTGAATTCTCTAAAAAGTACCTAGTCTCTTTGACACATGGATTTTTTTATGGGCTAAATCACCCTTTTGCCAGGCCCACTTTAATATATGCTGTTTTTTAAAAGTTAAGTTTTCTAATCGTCTACTTATATCATTTTTATGTCAAATTATGAATTTTCCCTAATTACATTTTAATTGAATTTCTCTCTTTTCCTTCTTTCTCTCATACATCCCTTTTTAGGAAAACATTTTTTTCTTCTCCCTCTTCCCTCTTTGTCCCCCCTTCTGTCTCCTCAAAATTTTCCTCTCTCTTCATGTCATTGTTCTTCCTTTCCCCTTCAATTTTTTAGTTCAAGATTTTTCACCATAATTTCAGCAACATCTCGTTTACGCCAGTTTTAAAAGCAGATCCCATTCGATTTTGTTTCCCAAAACGCATATACGCAATTCAGAAGAGAGAAATCACATAATCCTTTACTAGAGAAGAGACAGTCCCTATAATCCTGCTATAATTGTTCACGAGTTAGGGGTACTTTTTGGACTAACCTGAATTTTCAGGTTGGCCATATGTGGGAACCGAAGGGTTAAAAATTGATGACCAACCCAACCCAAAAATTTCGGGTTGGGTCGAGTTTGGTTGTCAGCCCTTTTTTTTTAACCTTGATCGAAAAAAGTATATAAAAATTTAAATCTTAATTTACACATAATTTCAAATCTTATTTCTAACCAACATGGAATTCCTAATTCAATACAAATATTAAAAGTTTACAATAGTAGTCATCTAAATTTCATTGAAAGTCCAAACAAATTGAAAAATTAAATTCTTAAACCTCAATTAGGAGCAACAATTGACATCACGAGCAACAATCTAAGAGATCTTGACTTTTGACTCCATATGTTAGTTGTGAAAATTCAAATACAATAACAACAATTAGCTTTCAAAAGATCAAGAATAAAAAGAAGTATTTATCATTAAAATAATATTTAATTGTTTTACTTACCATCGAAACCATAAGGATCTAATGAGATTTATTTATGCATGGTGTTGGTGGAGGAGTGCAAACTCACTTAAAAAAGAGATCAAAAGAGAGAAAATATAAAATGTTATAAGAATATATAGAAAATAATCAATAACAACTAGACAATAAATAAGTTACCTGTCTCAATTTTATAACTAGCTTTCAATTCTTCGAGTTGTGGAGGAAGATCTAATAACAATAGTTTACCATGAATCTAATTTTGTGTGCATATCAAAGCCTTTACTGTTTTAGGAGTTAAAGAACTTCTAAAAGAATCAAAGAATCCATAAGCAACCTAGACACTGGAACTGTCAAAACATCTTAGACAATTTTTTTATAAAATTCGATATTTATAGACATGTAGTTTCTACTAAGCCAAAACATCAAAACTATCATTAAGTTCCTCACTAGGATCACTTAAATATCGATCCACATAATTCTTTAATTCCAAAGAACTCTTTTCTTCTCTTCTCTTATTGTATATTGATATTACAAGACTACTCGCTTTAATATTTCCACCAATTTCCATATCTATGGTAACACTTGATTGGGAAGACTCAGTACTACAACTTTCGATATCAAGACTAAGAGTATTGTCATGTGATTTGTAGAAATGATGCACACGAACCAAATACGTCTTGATATTATCAAGCATCTCTTTAGCTATAGCATCCTCATAGAAATTCGAAAAATAAAATCATACATAATCCAATTTGTAACGAGGATCAAGCACCACAACAATAAATATTAACTTATTCATTTTTTCAATTGAACCCTAATACTTGTCAAACTTTTTCTTCATACTTAAAGTCATTGAACATAAAATAGAACCTTTATTTAGGCTCCAACTCAATAAAAGCTCTTGAATACCATGGATTCATGAAAGTAAGAACTAGAAGTCACATATAGAGAACCACTAATCTTTGTATTGACTTTATAAAACACCTTAAAAAACTTTACAAATACATTCACATTTTTCCGGTCATCAGAAGTTGGTAGTCCCAATTTTTTGTTTCCATGTTCATCTTATTTGAAGTAATTAGAAAAATCTAACCTCTCTTCCTCTAATATTTGAAAACTTTATCGAATTTCAAAGCATGTTCAAGCATCAAATAAGTAGAATTCCATATGGTTGCCACATCTAAACAAACAAGAGCTTCAGACTCGATTTTTTCTTTTTCTACTCAATCTTTACATCTTGACAATCTCTTTGGAGATGATCTAACATAGTACTACATTTCGAACACTACAAATAGATTCATGCATATCTTTTAAGCCATCATTTACAATCAAGTTTATGATGTGAGCATAACACATCATGTGTAATAAGTCTTCAAACCAAGATAGGACTTTCAACCTGTGAGAGTCTTCTTAATATAAGAAATGACCACATCATTAGAACTTGCATTGTCAACTGTGATGGTGAAAATTTTATCAATCCCTCATTCCAATAAACAACCTTCAATAACCTTGTCAATAGTCTCTCCCTTATGGTTTTCATATTGACAGAAGTTTATAATTCTTTTTTGCAAGTTCCGTTCTGAATCAATAAAGTGTGTCGTGAGTACTATGTCACTAGTAGAAAAGTGGGCTTCTATGACATTTATGAACAGTAAAAAAGGTAGGAGGAAAAAATTTGTGGGAGCACGTTATTTGGCGGGAAAAAACACTACTTTTCAGATTTTTTTTAAAAAAATTTTAAGACAGTTAAAAACTGTCACCAAAACTAGAAAATTATTTTTTTATTGAATGACAGTTAAAAATTGTCACGAAATGATGAATGCACAATTTTGGCCGGAAGTAACGTTAATTTTCGAATTTTGTATAATTTTGTGATAGTTAAAAATTGTAACGAAAACTAGATTTTTTTTTAATTCAATGACAGTTGAAAAAATATATATACTTCGATTTCATTACAATTACAAAAACATGATATATAGTCTTGCCTTCATTTTTTTAGAAATTAACTACATTTTTTAACTATCACAACTTTGTTAAAACAATTTCAGATTATATGTAAAAAAAATTATCACAAATAATTTCGGGCGTGTTTATTTTGCACAAATTAAATATATTCTTTTACCTCTATTTGCCATGAAAAATGTTTAAGAATTCAATACATGCCATTTAGAAACCGTCGGGATATTTATTCTAAAAATATATTTTCAATAAGATCAATCCAAAATGTTTTTTAAAACAGTTGGAAGAGATCACTTTTTGCCAACGAAGGTTTGAAGGAGTTGGTAGAAGTTGATATCCCCGACTTTTTAAAAATTGTCAAGATATTCATTTTAATAATATTTAAAAAAATATCCCGACACTTTCCTAAAATAGTCGGATAGGTCTCCTTCTGCAAATGGAGGTCCACAAGAGTCGGTGTAAGTAGATCTATCTCGAATATTTTACAAACAGTCGGAGCACATTTAAAAAAATATTTCTATAGACACTTCTTCTCTACAGTTGACATAATGGGACTAGTCCCGACTAGTTTAATTTTATTTTTAAATAATACTTATCCCGTTGGTTTTACAATAGTTAGTATAATTAATGATCGAATTGAATAAGTGTTGCAAAAATATGTCAATTTTTTT